TGCTAATTAAAAACAGTGATGATGGTAGCTCACACCAAAAATATGTATATATACTGATTATCTGAAATGTGTATGTCACTGTGTAAACTGCAGGTAGGAGCCACAATTTTAAGTCAAAAACTGAATAAAAAACTGGGGACAGAATTCTTGTCCCTCAGTCGCACAGTTGTAATAAGTGACACTGTACCTGAATGCTGCTGAGATAAATATAACTTTTCTCCTTTCGTCTGAAAAACATGCGCTGAGAGCGGCTTCGTGTGTGGTGTTGATGTGAACCTCCCCCGACACAAGTGGAAAAGTGTTAATTTCCAAAGCTGCATGGCATCTCAGGCTGGCTGTGTTTGATTGTGTTCACTGTATGTTGATTTAATTATGATCCACTGTGACTGTTGTGATGGATGTGTCTGTGGATGTGACTACAGAAGGAGGCTGGCTACTTTACATTAAACAGCCACATGCTCCAGTGCTCTTTTGTGTAGCTATCAGCTGCTCATATTATTTAAACATATATCATTACTAATGTTATCACTTACAGTAGAGCTGCATTATGCATACCACTGAGTTAGTGGCACACATTCATCCAGTCATAATGTTGGCATGTTGATCCCAACTGGCTTGTGCCCTTGGGCAATACACTTTAACCATCATGGCTGCATAATTATGCTAGTATGATTGGTGGGGGTTAGGCACAGTGTTGTAGCCCTTCAGGCTTATAAAGCTTATCTTATTATTATTTTTCATTAGTAATGGTAAACAGCTCTGACCTCTGTGGTCAAAATGAGCAAAAAACATCAACAGTTGACAGTTCACTTGTCCACTCAATAGTATTGTATTGTTGTGTCCTTGAGCAAAGCACATGTTTGTATTGCATTTGCACTATGCATCTGTGGTGACATGGCACAGCTTATTCACATGCTACTGTTACAAATGTATAAAATCATGCAAATTTATACAGTATTTTATTTAGCCTGAACATCCTTTTTTTAGGCTAAACATTTTGTATGCTTTTGTACATTTTATTTTTTGTAATTTAGGAAACCATTACAATACACTGTTCTCAGCCCTCTAACCCTTTTCTTTATATTGGCCAAAAATGTCATAATTAGATCATGCAAATCACAGTACAAGAGCAGCAGAGGTTATCATAAACCTCAACAGCGTGTATCATAATCCTCTTAATATTTCACTATCTGATATTTCCTCCAAACCCACAGAGAAGCCGTGCACACTACACTGGGCCTTTATAAGTCTGTGTGGTGCAGAGAGACCGGAGCATTGACACGGGGCAGCCCCAGGAGGCACTGGGCCTGTTTAAGTTGGCCCAGAGCAGCAGCTGTACACAGGGCTGCAGTGTCTGGAGCCACAGCCTGCAGAGCCCAGCGTATTTCCTGACTCCGTCTCCCTGTCCTTCGGGTTGTATTCAAAGGAGAGATGTGGAAAACACGGATAGAACCCATTAGACCTGATTCAACAACAGCTGAAAGGAAATTAAAATTCAAAGCCTCAGTTCCCTTTGCCGTATTTTCACAGGTGCTGAACATTGGACAGAAAAATTCACCTGTTTTTGGTTATTTTAGGTTTTACAGAAATGTGATGTTTGCAAAGGTTTACACACCTATCTTTGTAGCATAATTTTGGTCACATTATGAATTACTTTAAGCGACAATGTTACTGTTTAGGGGTGTCCATACATCTAGTCTTAGCTATTACTTAATTTCACTGAACATGTCCCAATCTAATATTATTTTCTTGCAGCCGGACAGTGTACTTACCTCTTAGCAAATAAGTCGTGCAGTAAATTCTTGGGTCTGTCTGAGTGAAGTTTGGTTTCTATCACTGAACAAATTAAGCATGTCACCATAACAAAGTTTAAAGTGTGCTATATTGTTGAAGAAAATATAGACAATAAAATACTGAAACAAATTTATGACACTGACACCATAACCCAAGAGCAAATTTAAACCACAAAAACAATTCTAAATGTTAAAGTTTGTTAACAAATCATGAGCTGCAATGAATAAACAGCAGAATAAAAACTTCAGTATTTAGTTTGCATCTGTAATGAGTCATAGAAGTTATTAATTCAACTTTTTGCAGCTCAAATCTAACCATATAGCCCCAAAGTAATAAAAAAAACTCCCATAAGTGCAAAGAAAATGTACACAGTCTATATAAATATCATGATAGATTTTGTTTGCTCTTATTGTTTTGTGATTAGATTGGGCTTTTTGGTTTACAAAGGTGGCAATTAATGTTAGAAATCGCAGATCTCTGAAAATCTCTCTACTAGTTCACTTTGTTATTTCTTTCGGCCGTGATTTGGCAGGTTTTTATGTCGGATGCCTTTTCTCTCGCAAAGAGTCACACTTTTCGCGCTGTTTTAATACATTCTTCTATTTTCACATTAGACACAGTTTTAATCATCACGAAAAGCTTCAGAAAATGTGACCCTGTACCGAAAGCTGGTTGCTCATATGTGTTTGAATTGAATACTACGGCATTAATCATTTTTCTTCCACATTTTCTCCTTTTAATTTGTCATGTATGGGTCTTATAGGTTAGGTGTGAGGTCAATGGGAACATTCAGTCTCCATATTTACCTATTCTTCTGAGTTATACAGGGAATAGCTTGTACTTTTCATTTATAGAAGTGAACAGCTAAAGTGAATTTATACAAAATGACTACAAATATAATGTAGTCTCATTGTCGGATCAGTTGAGAACCACTATCCAAAAGTTAAAGACAATATAAATCCTATTTAGACCTACAGCCCATAAAACTATTTGACTTTCTGTCTCCAAAATTTCAATGAGGACTTTGGAAAGAGGCACTTTGATCATTTCCCCTCCAAAGCCCTCCGGTTCCCTACTTCCACTTTGTCTCTCCCGTCTGTATCGGCGTGGCTGCCTCTGCTTGTGCTTTGAACGCAGCAGGGGGTTGTGGGTAAAGTCTCACGCTGCGCTGGATCTCTCTGACTCAGGGAGAGCTGAAGGTCAAAGATGCTTGCGATCACAACAGCAAAATCACTATGAACAAGTTGAAATTTTAACCTATATAAATGGTACAACTTTTTCTTATCTTATCCAAATGTGTATCTTTAAATTAATTCAACTTTAGACATAAAAAACTACAAAAATCTCAAACTGAAACAAAATCATCTGTTTCTTTGAAAAGAAAAACTCCTGGAGCCCATATGACACTCTTTTCCTCCTTTCTTTCTTGCGATTTTTGTTGGGAGCATTTGCATATTTCAAAAGTCTACCAAAGAAAATAGCCGTGGGGCAGAAATGGCCAATCTGCATATTGAAGACTCAACAGAGCAGTGTGAGGGAAGAGGGAGGGAGGGGTAGAGGAATCTTACAGTAAATGATCTAATGATTTTAAAGCTACAACAATGATCATGATTAGCAGCTGAGTAATGATTAATAAAGTGGATTAATTGTAGCATTGAGTGCAGATATAGAAGGCATGGTTCTGGTGGAGTTCTGTGGGTCTGCGTGCTTCATAAGGAGGCCTCTTCACCCGGCTTCCTTCATGAATTACAAATGGAGCTCTGTGACCAGGCGGCACAACACATGAAAAACATTATTGCATTCTCAAAACGTCTGCGGAGAAGCTTTGTGCTCTAGACTGGAAATACAGACAACTGCTTTGCCAAGTTTCACGCACAGTGATAAACAATGACATACACAACATGTTATCACAAAGGCTTCAACTTTATGACTTTATGGGCTCATTAAATTATAAACGTGTATAGAAAGGCAATATATGTAATCCATGCACTGAGATAGTATATTTTGTGTCCAGATTTTTTGAGTCCATTTAATTTGTACAGCTTCACTGATTTCTCAAGGAAAATAAACATTTATTATGTTTATTAGAGCATTGTCATAAAATACTGTTGCTATACACATACTTAAAATTAGGTTTATAATGAGAATTTCTTCAATTTTCATGTCAATATTAATGGGTCCAACCTTGATAGTAAATTATTGACTCTGACCATAAAGCTTATCTTTTGAAAATCAAAGAATTATCACACTGTGTGAGACTATAAATACTGTTGTATATTGCATTGTTGTTAAAGCTGCACATGCATGGCCCATGGTTTTGGAAGCGTAAAATTAGGAAGTAAAATTAAAATCCTTTTGCACATTAAACAGTCCATAAGTATTCCATAAAGAAGAGACCACAAGTGATTTTTTCCATTCAGAGGCAGAGGTGGATTCCTCACTCCTTCAGTGCTCAGCTGTGCGTCCCGTCACGCCACCGTGGCCTCGCTTTGACCAAGTGAAAAGCAGCGCACATTAAGATGCAATGAACGTCCGGACCTGCTCTGAGCAGACTGCTGTATCCTTGACAGTGGCACCACAAAAGCTCTGTGCTCCACACGCTCATGGACTGTGGTTAGGGAAGACTTTCTTTTATGTGAGTATTATTTTCGCATGAAGTAGGTCTAAATGATGCAAACCTGTATATAGCCGATTCAAATGAGAAATCATTGTTTGTTAGATCGTATATTTTTTTGCCAACTGTGTGTGTCCCATGGCAGAACTTTTCCTATACTCTGGACAAGATGACACTCCTCATCCTCCTCGTGTCCAATCAGCGGAAACCTCGCGCACCCATTCTGCTGTAATTGGATGAGGATGGGAAATTAATAGACGTGGTTGAGGCACAACGTAAACACATCTCAGCCGCTCAGTCAGGAAGACGCACGGGACGCAATGCCTAAAGTAAATTATTGAAGGAATTTGCGTAAAGGACATTTTTTCCTTTATCTCAAAAGAAACAAGTTGAAGACAGTTTAAAAGAAGACGGCCATATGAGGTGGATTTAACAAAGTGGTCACAGAGGGCAAACTTTGGAGCGATTTATTCTACTGATTATGATGTTTCTCAGTTTCTGTAAATTCATTCATTTTTTCACAAGTGCGTCTTGAAAAACTTCCAATGGACCAGACTGAAGTGAGCTTTTAAACTCTGAAACGCGCACACCTATGCTTTGGGGTATGGCCGCCGCCACGTCCAGTCCGTATCTATCCAGTAGTAGGGTCCTGCACACCGACAGAAGGGGAGGTATGCAGCCGGTCGCCACGGGATCCAGCGGCTACCGACCAGAGCCACCGGTCAAGATGACGCAGAGCGACTTTATGCAAGGCGCTGTTGTGGGGAATGGGAGTCACATGCTCAGCCACCAGTGGGTTACGTCGCTCCCTCACGCAGCAGCTGCAGCCGCTGCAGCCGCAGTAGCAGCGGCGGAAGCTGGGTCCGGGTGGCCTCCCTGCGCACCAGCACAGGAGGCAAAGAGAGGTTCGTCCCGCGAGGACCTTCACGCTGGCTCCACTTTGCACCACAGGACACACCTGAGCGGACACCAGACGCACGCGAGTAGCTGGGGAGGCGGTTCGGGCGCGCATCTTACGGACCCAGCCCTGGGATACTCTCAGACCGGCTTTACGGTTAATGGCATGCTCAGCGCGCACGGACACAACCTCGTGCACTCTGGCATTGTGCGCGGTGACTCCCCTGACCTGGACCCACACCATCACCACCACAGCCAGCACGCGCACCACACGCACCATCAGCACCACGGCGTGGCGCACGAGCCACACTCAGATGAAGACACTCCGACATCTGACGACTTGGAGCACTTCGCTAAACAGTTCAAGCAACGTCGCATCAAACTTGGTTTTACGCAAGCCGACGTGGGGCTCGCGCTGGGCACGCTATATGGAAACGTGTTTTCACAGACCACTATCTGCAGGTTTGAGGCGCTGCAGCTCAGCTTTAAAAACATGTGCAAATTAAAGCCGCTCCTGAACAAATGGCTGGAGGAGGCAGACTCAACCACTGGAAGCCCCACTAGTATAGATAAGATCGCTACACAGGGCCGTAAGCGGAAAAAGCGCACGTCCATAGAGGTGAGCGTAAAAGGCGCACTGGAGAGTCACTTTCTGAAGTGTCCCAAACCGTCCGCCCAGGAGATCAACGCTCTGGCAGACTCGCTCCAGCTGGAGAAGGAGGTGGTGCGCGTCTGGTTCTGTAACCGCAGGCAGAAGGAGAAGCGCATGACGCCGCCAGGACTGCCGCGCTCACCCGAGGACACGTACTCACAGGTGGGCAGCATGGGACCTGACACTCCGTCACCGCCCGTGGATTGCAAACGGATGTACAGCGACACGTGAGAAAAATCCCGGGACAACTCCGGGAAATAGAACAAGTTCAATCAACAACTTTCTTGTTTCCCATAGCTTGCCTAAAACCTTTTTACTGCACTATAAACCAGCCTTTTGGGGAAAAATTTTAAGTCAGATCAAATAAAACTGAACCTGTTGAAACCAAAAGAAGAGGATGCATTTAAATCTGTACATCTTGCTGCAGATATTTATGTCCTTTCAAAGACTACAGTGTATGTTTGGCAAACAGAAGTCTAGTAACAAGCTTTACTGAAAGGAATTGCAGTTGAAAGCAATAATGTTTTATTTCTTTACTTTGTGTGGTGTGCTTATTCAGTGTGACTTTTCCAAGTTTTATTCAAGGAATCCTTTGAAAATATTTCTTTATGTAGGATACTGTCTGTTGTGAATCTTTGTGAGATTTGAAAAATGAAGTATTTATTGTTGTTTTTTTCCACTGTGTCTATTTTTATGTAAAATACGAATTATTTAATAAATTTCTCATAAAATATTGATGTGCGATCATTGTAGGCTATATTTTCGTGTTTATTCAATACTTCCATAGGCCTATCAAAACAAGAAAAGTTTAGGCTATGGTCTACTAAAGTTCAATAGAGGATGAATAAATAATTTAACAAATGTAAAGAAATTATATTCACCCTTTTTCATACATTTTTGAACAACATATAGTGGATATGTGGATTTGTTGAGTACCACATGGACAGATCAGCAGTGGTTGCCATGGTGGCAGAGGGTGATGCCTGGATAATTAGCTGATGGATAACCATCTCTGTAAAGATTGCACTTTGACAATCTTGGTGACTTGATTAATTAGACACAGACATATGGCCAAAGTAAAGTCGAAAGTTATGATTCATCCATTTATTTTACATTTCTAAAATACAGGTACAATCATAATGTGGTGTATATCCATTAAAATAATGTGCATGAAACTTTGTTGATCTGGGATTGTCAGAAGGTGAGTTGCTCCACCATGAGGCGCGAGCAGAGCAGAACTCAGGCTAAATAAAATGTATCTCAAAGTCACCATGGTTTTCTAAACCACATCCCAGGCTGATGTGGTCTTCTAAGCACTTTGTCAGTGGGTCGGTTTAGGAACCATTTTCAGAGGGTTGATTCTTTTTTGAATCAACAGAATTTGAGGAAATAATGTGACACCGACTTTATAAACTAAAACAGAGCTAAACTACAATGTTATTTTGAAATGTTTGTATTATATCATACGGTATTACATTGATTTATTTGATCTCCACAAGAGGTTTTTCATTCAGGAGTCAAAGCAACCCTTGAAACAATTAAATTAATATTTTATTTGGGCCTTGGCTTGTAGTGAGTATTGAAGCTACTCCAAGAAGCTGAGATGTGTCGTGAGTTAAGATCACACGCGTACCTTTTGTAAGACTGTAGAATTATTTATATTATTAGCATAATGTTTTTCAGGAAATAAAATATGTGAGACACATGAAACAATGAAAAAAAACAATACACATGTGTGACTAGGAATAACTGGAAAATGTATTGCAGGAGACAATATGAATGAGGCAGAAAGAGAAGCAGAGGTAAAGAATTAGCTTATTATTAAAAAACACAGCAGTGGTATAAACTGTCTCCAGCCTCACTCCTCTTCAGGCCCTGGTGATGGTGCACAAAGCAATAGACACCATGAGCTCTTTTTGGTCTGTCTTGTTCCAATCACACACATATAAGCCCTATAAATCCACCTGCATTTGTATCTTCTAAGATCCAGCTTTTCACATGACTGCTTGTTGCTTGATATTTTGCTCTATTAATACAGTGTAGCTTTTCCACTGTGAAGATTTAGTTAGGGAAAAAATATATGATATTATGGTGGAACTTATGGGGGAATAGAACAAACATATGTTGTAACACTATTGACCAAGAGAATGAGTCCTTCTGAGCAGCACCCCGGATGTGTTGGAGCTACGGGACGTGTCGTGCATGCATGTGCCAATCTGCTGAAGTGGAACTGGTTTGATGGGCATGTTCAACACGTGGGCACGATGCCAATTTAGACAAGCGCACGCTGTGTGCACCAATTCAACAAGGTTAGCTGCCACTGCACAGTTAGTGCACTGGACATGTGATTCACCACTTCATTTCAGATCCATTGATTGTGAAAGTATGGAGCCATAAGGCCATATCACATGAACCAGGTAGGCTACTGCCCTACAACATAGATTGTGTAAATGGACATATTTATCCCACTAGTCGCCGCATTCCATATGGGAAGTGAGCATGAGCACACTTCTGGCTCCTTTGACTTTGTATTGACAAACTGTTGCTCCTCTCGCTGTAACTGCTGCCACTGGGCTTGCCATTTTAGTCTAAAATCTCTGTATTAACCCGATCTACATAATCTTGTTTATTTTAGTGTTTTGGCCATAAATCAAGATATGACCATTAATAACATTTAAACCAGGCACCTTCTTTTCCCAGGGTCCCTCATCGCTAAGTGCCTGTTCCTTGCTAAACCAGCAGTGCGGGCCGGAAAGGCTGTTACCGTCAACAGCCTTGCACCTGATTGGCTCTTTGGTTGCTATGATACTCACAGTTGGAATTCCAAATATAGAACTTGGCCCCTATAACTATCTGCCTCGATGAGCTTCATTTGACTGGAGCCGAATGCTATGGGTGATGTCACGTCACTATGTCCCATCGTCCACTTCTTTATAAAGTCTATAGCCTACACTTTATCAATAGCAATATTTGTTGTATTATTGTCAAAATAAGCTTTAAGTCCCTTGACAGTTACCATAGCGAATATTGATGCATTATGGGACTTGTAGTTGGAGTTTGATGTAATAAAAGCTGCACTTGAATCTCCATGAATACTTTTTATTTAATTTTAGTAAACTAAAATGAGCATGAATTGCATGTCAAAGGTGACTGATTTACTGGTTAACCCTATGTAAAACCGTGTTGACTTGTGAGTAAAAGTTCTGTTTTGTGATTGAAGTGAATTGGGTGATGCATTTCCTGTATTTTGAGCGAATGAAGCATCCTGATGAAGTGAATTAAGTGATGGGATCACACCGCGCTCACAACAAGAGCAACATGAGTGATGTGAGTGACTTGGAGCAGGACGAGACTAGATGAAGTAGAGAGCAGTGGGTCAACTTTATGCAGTGACACCGATTCAGTGAACACCTTTTGACGGACACGTGAGGCACTAAAGTTTACCCCCGCCCGTGGTTAACTTTCCATAAAGGGCTGAAGACAACACGAAAGCGACCTGGGTGTAGGAACGTGGTTTTGTCGCTCTTGGTGTGAGTGCGGTGTCAAGCGTTGATACGTGAATGAACCAAACAGGGGTAGCACACAAAAGAAGTGGAGAATTCACCAGTTGAAAATTTTGTAAATTTCTCACTTTAAATTTTTTAACTCTGAAAAAAACATGTTTGAATTGTTTCTATTCTGAATTTCAGTAGATGAATTTTAAGTACACTTTTTCAATGTGTTTAATTTTATTTATTTTTTTATTTTTTTTTAATTTTTATTCTGTAACATTTTCAGTCGATTGTATGTGACTGAGGAGGACAGAGGCAAGCTGTTTCCTATTGGCTGCTTCCTATTCTGTGGGCAGGGCTTATAGTTAAGGATCAAAGAGACGATGATTAGGCTTATTATTCTTATTCTTACCAATCAGATTGCTTCCCTACAGCATTTCCTGGTTGTTTGTTTGATCGACTAACTCAGAATCGATTGCTTCAAACTAATTATCTTTCTTATAAGCCAGTCCTTCTACAAACGAGGTCCTTTTCTAGACTGTGAAATGAATAGGCCTATTTAAATAATAAAATTATACTGTATTGTGATGTGTGGTGCATCCTTTTACCTAGTGGTCAGTACCATGTTTCTGCGTCCTGTAAAGTCGGATTCAGGAGGTTTCCTTCACAGGCTGATGAGGACCTGACACAGAGGCTGCAGAGATCTTCTCCAGGAGCTAAGCCCATTGAAGTAGTGCTGCTCACAGTTGAAACAGCCACTTGAAACTGCCAAAACCCAGTGATAGGTACCTGGAAAACACAATACGTCATAGCAGCGTTGTAATTATGCTTTGCTTGGTCTTTGTTTTTTGTTTTTGTTTTTTGTTTTTGTTTTTGTTTTGCTTTTTGTCCAGAGTGCAGCATGGATTTCCCAACATTTGTATACAGTTTGTTTAAGTCAAATCAGCAGTAACCAACATCTACAACCAATAATCTTGGACTGGACTGGATTGTATTTTAATCTAATATCAGAAACTAATCAGAAAAAAATAACATTACATTTTGGGGCTTGTTTACAATAGCGCGAGAAAGATAAAACATGTGGAAATGCTGCCTCCTTCTGGACAAATAACTATGTCTATAGTGCGGCAGTGTTTCTTAAAACATGATAAAGACTGACTATAAAAGGTCAAGGCCGTCTACTTTAACGACAGGGGGAAAATGTTAGACTAAATAAATATTCATATTTTTAGGCTTGAATTGTCATTCTTTAAATAAGCTGAAAATGTCCATGTTTACAGAAGATGTATCCTTGGCTGTCGGTATGCAGTCCATTGATGGTCTTTTTTTTTTTTTTTTTTTTTTTTTTGCCCATGGACTGCTCCTTTAATACGGGGACTCTGCTGGCGTCAGCATCATCCGGAGGCGGCGCAATGGAGATCAATTCCAGGAGAAAAGGAATATCTGAGAAAAAACGCGCCGTACCATAAAACGCTAATCGTTGTGACTGATCGTATTGACTCAAGCCAGGGAGGACATAGATCCAGGTGCTCCAAAGGTAGGTCACCTATATACTACAATTGTATTTACATTTGCAGAGTAAGCAGTATAGTATACTTACAGCAGTATAGTCTATATTCTTATGTTTCAGATAAAACAACATAACCTATTCAAAAATTTGCAAATTCTGAGCAGTGAATTACAAAGGGAATGGAAATTGAAATTTGTTGACTATTTCTCCGTTGTGGCTCCATAATTGCAAAAGGATACTTGTGGCACGCTGTCATCATATTTAGCTACGGCTTTAGTTTCTGATAGGACACACCTTTTATTGGTGATTATTCGCTGCTGCATATCAGCGCACGTCACCTTTGTATACAAGGGAAGGTAGTTCTGACACACTATGTTCATAATTTTGTGTGACAGGAACCTCCATTGTTGTCGCCTTATCTCCAGCGTTGCTTGTGTGTCACTCACAGCACACAGACAATCATAAAAAAATCCTTCAGGCATTGATTGTTCATCAGTAATGCTCGCATCGAGTCTCTTGTGAAAAAGAACAATAAGCCTATGTCCTTTACCTGCAGACTAATCTTTGACAAAATACGTGATGAGAGACTGCCTGTTGCCATGGTACCCATGACCTTGTTGCTATAGCAACATACATCAGCAAGAGTATGCAATGTTGTTTTGACCAAGAAGCTACAACCACTGAAGAAACTGTATTCGGGTTAACATGTTATAGTCTACACATTAAAACAACTTCAGTGAAAACAAGAGTTTTGCATCTGATGATGATGTTTTTTCCCCACAGTGCTGTACCTGGAGGACAGAGCCTGAGACCTGATGTGTTAAAGACATAGACTGTAGAGTCTATGGTTAAAGAGTGTCCAGAATTACACCTGCGCACGCTCATGCTAAGTCAACAGGCTGTCACCTTTATCATCATGGGTGTGTACCATCGTTTGTGTGTGAAATATAAGGTGTTAAGTGGGTAATGTGTCTAATGTAGCTATTATATGAGAGTGTACTTGTTAATCATCAACCCAGCTATAGTGCAACTGTATTTTCTTTTATTCTCTGTTTGGTCTGAGATATAAACACTGGCCACACACAGTAAAATGTCATTTGAATGGTTGTATTATTATATTTTAGTTCAGTAGATTAGCCTTGTAGTAGCTTACTTTACTTTACCCTTAGGCTGCCCTTACTACACTTTTATTATATGAGCATACTGTATTATTTTGTTAAATACCCCTTTAAATTTTAAGATAGAAGTTAATTTACTACTTGTTTATTTTGATTAGATTTTTGTTTGTTACTGTTTTAGTTTAGGACTTAGGACTCCTAAAATTAGTTCATGTTCAGAGATTGGTAGCTTAATAAACTCTTCAACATTGCATTTAACTGCACTAACAAAATTGTCATTAGTCTTTACAGCCCTATACACTCCCAGGTCTCATCGAGAGAATGACAGAAGACATCTCCTTCTCCTCACAAAGACTCCCAAAGATTTTCATCCTTATTATGAATGATACCCTGCTGCAGTCAACAGCATGTCCCTCTGTAATGACAGCCTGCCAGAGGACTGTGTCTTCATGGACCCGGGAAGCCCTGTGGTCCCAGATGACATCATGCCCCCCTCAGACACTGGGACCCCTCTCATATCTGTGACACTGCGGGTCACACTGGCGGCCATCATGATCTTTATGATTACCATTGGTTTCCTTGGCAACGCTGTGGTGTGTCTCATTGTTTACCAGAAACCTGCCATGCGCTCGGCCATCAACCTCCTCCTGGCCACTCTGGCGTTCTCTGACATCATGCTGTCTCTTCTGTGCATGCCTTTCACTGCTGTCACCGTGGCGACGTCGGACTGGACATTTGGCAGCACCTTCTGTCGCGCTTCGATCATGCTTTACTGGTTGTTTGTACTGGAAGGAGTGTCCATACTTCTCATCATCAGTGTGGACAGATTCCTTATCATAGTGCAGCGCCAGGACAAGCTGACTCCATACAGGGCTAAAGTGTTGATCGCAGGCTCATGGATGCTCAGTCTATGTATTTCCCTGCCGTCAGTGGTGGGATGGAGGACAGGTGCGGCAGGTATCGGAAGCACCTGGGCACCTCAGTGTGTCCTGGGATACAGCGAGTCTCTGGCAGATCGCGGATACACCATCCTCTTAGCAGTAGCAGTTTTCTTTGTGCCATTTACAGTCATGCTCTACTCATACATGTGCATACTCAACACAGTGCGACGCAATACGCTTCGCATTCACAACCACACTAATGAACATTCATGTCTACCAGCCCTCAACCAAATCAGCAAAATGAGGATTAGTGGACTGCAGCGCCCCCCACAGATCAAAGTGGACATGAGCTTCAAGACAAGAGCATTCACTACAATTCTCATCCTGTTTGTGGGCTTCTCTGTGTGCTGGTTGCCCCATACTATTGTAAGCCTGCTTGGAGTTTTCAGCCATCAGTTTTATTACAGCTCAGTATTTTACCCCATCAGTATAGGGGCCCTGTGGCTCAGTTACCTCAAGACAGTGTTTAACCCAGTCATTTACTGCTGGAGGATCCGGAAGTTCAGGGAGGCCTGTCAGGAGTTTTTCCCCAAAAGCTGCAGGTTGTGTCCCAGGGTGCCGGGTCGGAGCCATAGGAGAGTCAGACCCAGCAATATCTATGTCTGTAGTGAAAGCCAGTCTTCTGTGTGAGCAAAGGACACGTCATGTCTTTTGTGTTTTCCATATAAACAACCAGAAACCAAAAAAAGTAGCAAAGATTGTAATAATTCTATTCTTATTTTTTCATTAGGCCACACAGTTAGGACATTGTTTGCTGGTGTATCATGAAGTTGAGAGTAAAATATGTGATTAAAAAAAAGTAGCACATGCTCAATCTAAGTCCAAGCTCTGAAAATGCAGTGATTGAAAAAAAAAAGTACATGTTTACCTTTACTTAAGCACTATTCTGTGTTATTATTTGTATTTTTGTATTATATTTGCACAATGCAAAACTCCAGCTCTAAGTTATTTTTTTTTAACTTTAAACCAATGTGCCAGTCAGATTTTGAACTTTGTGTCCTGATTATAACAATAAATATTTCTAATTGTATAGTGTTATTCTTCTTAACACAAGGCTGTTGCATGCATCACTTACTGGGTAAAAAAAATCAATCAGTCATCATCATTATCATCATCATCATCATCATCATCTTCATCACTACTTACTGCGTTACTAAAGGCAGCCTTGAAAGAAATAGTCCCGTGAGCATGACAGAGCAGCAGATGGCGCTGTTTATGCTCAGATCCATAAACTATATACAAAAAGAGGATCCTTGCACCCTCGCATGACAGCCCACTTATGGTTAGGTCTTTCTCGTAAACAAAAACAAAAATCGCCAAGATCATGTTAGGTAAAAACAATTATTGACTTTTTTTTTTTTTTTTTTTTTGAAATAGGGCCCAAGTAGACCTGTGCATAACATATAAGCATGGATCTATTAAAATAATATAAGATATCGAGTCTATCTGGATAATGAGACTCCACCCTTTAAGAAATAATAATAATAATAATAATAATAATAATAATAATAATAATCTCTATATCTCTGTTGAAATTATTCTCTTATTCATGCTTTATTGAGTCTGTTTTGTTTTGACGCGGGGCATGTTGGGAAATTCAAACATGGCGACTTCCACGGGACAAGACGGAAAGGCTAGCTCCTCTTCAGATGTGGATCTTTTACTGCACCCCGAGCTTTTATCTCAGGAATTTATCAAATTAATTTTAAATGAGGTAAGTCTGTCTTTACAAAATTCAGTTTCAGGGTCATGTGTGCCACTTCTGTTGTGCTGTTTGAGCTACAGTGCCCATAAACCTCTCATGCTTTATCTGAGTGTGACTTCTGTCGTGTGCAACAAATATAAACAAAACCGCTCCTCTATTTATTTTAGAGGAAGGTTAATACACGGGACACTTTGAGTCGGGATGAGCTTACGGAGCTGTACCTGCGCCATGTGATGCCGCTGCCTCAGAGGACACTCCCCTCCAGCCGCTGGGGCAGGACCGCAGCCAAAACCCGAGAGGCGCACGCACCATCAGCCGCGCACAGGTCAGACTGTCCACACACGGCCTATTCACACACCAGCCTCTCCACAGACAGCACTTCCACGTACAGCATCTCCTGTCTACACACGGCCTCTCCACGCACGGCCCTTCCACGCACGGCCCGTCCACGGCGTGGACTCCACGCACGGCCTCTCCACACACCAGCCTCTCCACACACCAGCCTCTCCACACACCAGCCTCTCCACACACCAGCCTCTCCACACACCAGCCTCTCCACAGACAGCACATCCATGTACGGCCCCTCCATTCCAACCACGGCCCCTCCACAGACAGCTCGTCTACAGACAGCCTGTCCACGCATGGCCTCCTCACACGCGGCCCCTCCTGCACAGCCTGTCCACGCACGGCCCCTCCTGTCCACGCCCGGCCCCTGCTCTCCACGCACGCCCCCTCCTATCCACGCACGGCTCGTCCTGTCCACGCACAAAATTTCTCTCTTTATCAAGAGTGTGTAACATTGTCCATTTTCAACTCACTTGTGTATATCATAATTAGTGGAATAGTTTTTTTGCCTTAAGCTAGGTTTTCTGGGCCTATTTTAGTTAATTAAGAAAGAATATAGGTCTGTTTTCCCCTTTACTGTTGGCAGGGGTCAAAATGGTCAAAAATAAGCTCAAATAATTTCCCTTGTGGAGCAAGTCAAGTCAAAACTGGGTCTGTCCCGAGTAAATTGGAATGTCTGGTCACCTTTTATAGCTGTCCAAAAAAACCCAACATGATTCTAATTACTGATTACGAATTAACTATTTCCAGCAGTGACTCCAACAGAAAACGGCCATTAATAGTGTTCGATGGAAGCTCATCAAACAGCGGTCCTCCAAAAGTGAAGAGATCAGACGGGAGTAATCTATCTGGAGCCACAGACCGATTAAAGCCACCGCCAGGAGCAAATGTGGCCAGCCCCATGAGAAAGCTTAATACAGTCACGTCACCTTCATGCACAATGAAATCAAAGCTTACACGAGAAGAACATCACTCTGTAAGTATCTGTGAATTACTTTTATACAGTGGTGGAAGAAGTACTTGATTTTGTTACTCAAGTTAAAAGTTCGGATAGCAGAGCAAAAAAATACTCAAAATCTGCATTGTGCATTGTGATTGATTGATTGCATTTGTATAGCGCCTTTCAAGATACCCAAAGCGCTTTACAGTTCATTATTCAGTCACTCCACACTCAGTGGTGGTAAGCTACTATTGTAGCCACAGCTGCCCTGGGGCAGACTGACACTGTGTAACTTTTCTGGTAGCGGGACCATCAAATACTTTTCTCCGTGGAGATGTTATTGCTTTGTCAGGAATGTTTCTTAGTATGGTATTAAACCTTTCTATCCTGATGGAGACCAAACCAGACCAAGTTACAGATCAGATCTGTGGAGAGGCAATTCCGCTCACAGTCAGAATGCCTGTTTTTCTAGTTTTTTTTTTAGCTGTAAAACCACTTGTTATTGATAAAATGTAAGGAAGAGCTGTTTAATTCATACTGTGGAACATTACAGACAGAGCAATGACGTGTCCATAGAAACAAGAAGGTGAAGGACCGTCAACCAGAAAAGTTACACAATGCATCTTTAAATAAAAGTATTAAAGTATCTGTTTAAAAATATATTTAAAGAGTGAAAAGTAAAAGTATTTTGCACAGATTTTGAGATCTAATAAAGCTTCAAATGTGATTTTGATGAAGATCTGTGCTGAAATTTGTCCAGTAGAAATAACTACATTTTATGTTATTTTGCCCCCAGCTTTTTTTTTTTATTTGTAATTTTTGTTAAAAATGTGTTTAACATGTTAAAAATGAACCCTCAGCCTTTTCAACAAGTCTCAGACAATAATAAACATACTTTTACTTTTCAGTCCGGTTCAGAAACGTAGTGGACTAGAAAGTATAGATAATTGCTCTCAAATGCAATGAAGTAAAAGTAAAAAGTATCCACTTTAAAATGTACTTAAGTAATGGACAGATATCTAACATTTTTACTTGAGTACAGTACTTTACAAATTTTACCTCATTACTTTCCACCTTTGCTTTTATGCAGTTTTCAATTGTAAACCCCAACAGAAAATCTAACCTTTATTTGTTTTTTTCCTCCAGAATTCAGATTCTCCAATGGCAAAGAAAAAGATCCAGCATGTGACGTGGCCCTGATGTTTGTCTCCTCACCAAACCTCAGAGCCGAACTCTACAGTACATTTTTTCTCAAGTTTCTTCCAGTGTTGCAAAGAACAAAGACATATCGTGCCAGCATTAGAATAGACTGGTCCAATAAACTTAATAGGTCCATCACTTTCTTGTAGTTTTTCACAACCTCAAGTGCACTTACTAGGGCTGGGCGATATGGATCAAAAATATATATCTCGATATATTTTGCTATATCTCGATATACGATATATATCTCGATATATGTTCAAGAAAAAATAACCCCCTAAAACTGAAAACTGCAAAAACAAATCTGCCAATTCCACAAGGTCTTTTTTTTTTATTGAAGTGTAAGAGGTCGGCAGTTCATATAGGAACACTTAAGATTACAAAAACCCTAATTACATAAATAATAATTTAACTGTAAAATAAAAGAAATAATACATATTTCCTTCTTTTCATTCATAAATAAAACAACTCAACACAAGCTCATCTTTGCATTAACTCTGTTAACCATCCCATAACCATGAGCTCATTTACCAGAAGAAGCTCCGGATGTTCCTTATTTCAATAGATCCATGTTATTATCCAGCAGTAAGGAGCTCTGAGGTTTCCCACAATTCACTGCAGATCAAACCCAACGTTTCCAAACACTATTGTACAAGTGACACTGCAGCAGATTATTAATAAAAATATTCTGCATAAATAAACTTTACATGACTAAACTTTACAATATATAAAGCATAACGACTCTACAGCCACATCAGCTTATTTGCGATAATAATGTGTTTAATGCAGTTTTGCGCACGTGTGTTTACATTTTACAGAAACGAAACATAAGCGCATGGCTCATTTGCATAAACAGCGCACTTCTCATGCAGCTCAGCTCGTTTAGCTTCTTTCGGGCTAAAGGAAGCGACTCGGTGGAACATGAGGATGTGCTACTGATGGTTTTGTCTGTAAAAGGTGGAAAAGGTTCGTGGTGCTTGAAGCTTTTCACTGGCACCAACTTTCGGCGTTCACGGCGATAGTGAGAGTGAAGGAGACGCGAGCGAACAAAATCAGGGAGGCGGGGGCGCGCGGGCGACGAGAGAGAAGGTAAACAAGCGAAGCGGGGAAATCAGAATCGAATATAAGCATTATATCGATATATACGATATGTCAGAATTCATATCGAGTTTAAAAACTCGATATATTTAAAATATCGATATATCGCCCACCCCTAGCACTTACCATCACCCACCACACTTGAAGGCATAGCAACTATTTAAAATAATATCTACACTGTTTAAAGACCCACAACTAATGCTATTTAATTTGCTAGCAGCATAGTGTTCATATCTATTGTGCTTACGATGGGTAAACTGCATCGTGTGTGGTAATGGCCATACGTAATGATGAAGTGATCAAGCTCAATAATTAAATTTCCTGTTTAACTTGCAGAGTATATTTAAATATACTTTTTAATCTTTGTGGAAATAATGTTGTGGAATATTCAGGCCAAAATGAACATTTATTTTTTATGTAATTGGTTTAATTAAACTAATTGTAAAACCAAAAATGGTCTTGGGCTTAATTTGAACCCGAAATAAAAATGTTGCTAAAGTCAATACTGGATTCCTTTATAGGATTAAACATTACAGAATTTTATTTTATAACCACACATGAAAAGTCTCTGGCACTTTTTTGTTTTTCACACTCCATGATTTCTTTCATTTTCAGAATCACAGTTTGATTCAAATATGCATATATTAATTATTTAAGCTGTGATTATTGCACTTCTAGATCTATAAATATATCTAAATGTTTCACAAACAAAAATCTTTACAGTCATGTCAGACAGTCAAAAGGCTTTTTAGTACGTTTTCAACAGTGAGCATTCAAGCAGCATTAGTTAAGTGTGGCTTTTAATAATGTACATTTATAGAGTGATATGAAGATTCTATGTGAAACTCAATCAAACTAACATTATGCCATTGTTATTAGTATGCCTTGTTTTCTGATCAGATCCGATTAGATGTCCTTTCCACATTCAGGACAGAGGATGTCATCACGCTCAGTGAGGAAGCCACGCCCCACCAGGGACACGGAGCACTTCTTGCAGTTGAAGCAATCATTGTGCCATTGGCGCTCCTCAAAAGAAATGTACTTGCTTCCACCCAAACCTGAAAAGAAGATGAAGTTCGGTAAAGACTAAAATGGAAAATGTGTACAAATACAGTATGTGAAGCATAAAATAAGGATATGAGCATGTACCACTGATGGGGGTGGTGCAGGAAGCACACTTCTTGGCATACAGGTTGCAGAAGCAGTTGAGGCAATAGGCGAAGTCATCTCTAGAGGTGAACCTCTGTCCAGACAGCTGCTGTTTGCAGCTAGTGCACAGGAAGCAGTCCTTATGCCAGGGCTGCTCACGGTAGGTCACCCCTCCAGTGGTGATCGGCTGCAATGCAGAACAACATTGAAAAGTTCTGCTATTGATGGTGAGGTTTTGCAGGTTGTCCTACCTTCTTGCAATGGATACACTGCATGGCAAACTGCTTTTCATAGCAGGGCACACAGTAGTTGTGGTTGTCCTTTGGGATAAAACTCTTGGTGCCGATTGGCTGCTGGCATCGCTGACACGTGAAACAAGTCTCATGCCAGCTGTTCCCTTTGTGCTCCATCTTCCTGGAGCCTGGATCAGCAGATGAGAAAAGATAATGTCAGCAATACAATATTGAGTTTGGAGGATGAATAATTTAATTACATTATCTCTATTTTCATACCAGGCATGATGGTTTTCTTGCACTCGTGGCACTTGGAGGAGTATTCATTGGAATAACACTCAGTGCAGAGCAGCTGCTCATCTTTAGTGGAGAAAGGTTTGTCCACCAGTGAGCGCTTGCACTGGAAGCACTTGAAACAATCCTCGTGCCAGTGGCGGTCCTTGTAGGACAGATCCTGTAACACCACAATCACAGTTGGTACTTTTTACTAGTTCTGAAACCTAAGGTTAGTTGTAGCACTCACCCTGGAGTTGCAGCCAATGGGCTTCTTGCACTCCTCACAGGAGTTGGAGTACAGGCTCTCGTAGCATTTCACACAGTAGGGGTTCTCCTCTCTCAGGACGTATTTCTTCCCAAACAGGGATTCTTTGCAGTAGTGGCAGTCATAGCGTTCTGTCATTTTGAGTGTGAGTGGTCACCTAAACCAAAGACACCAACAATAACATCTGTGCATTTTGACCAGTACTTCCATTGCCTTAGTTCCTCTGTACTGGGAATGTTGTATAATGCTCTTTACTGTATAGCCTCTTTTCACCCCTCTCCATTTTGTCGACTCTTTATTTTGTTCTGTGTGGCGGGAGTGAAAGGTGACATGAGGAGGTATAAATAACTCCCTGCTTAGAGACAGTCAGGGACCCCTGCATACCAACGCCTTCTATGCCACGCACACTGACCCATCCGTCACCTCACCTCCAGCTGTCAGCACAAGATCCCTTATTGCCTGTGTATGTGGCAGGAATGGCATTTGTAATAATGGCTACTCACGAGCTGCAGCTGTTGACAGTAGGCCTGCAGAGTCATCTGGTTATCCCATCTGTGCCTAAGTACTGTACTTCTGTCCATGCCATCTTATGCAGTTAATGCCCTTACTGATAAGACTCCTGAGACTCACAGGACTAAAACATTATATCTAATCAGTTGGTCACCAATCAAGATCACTATTTCTGCCAAATTTGGATCATGGTTTTCCCCTTTTGTCTTCAGTATGTGTGTATATATATATAAATATTTCTTCTTGGTTTCTTCTGAGAGACAACTGTGCTCTAAAGAGATGCGGCCTGGATGTGTGGCCACTGGCATTCAGGAGGTCTGTATCTTGTCTCAGTTGAAATAATCTTCCTGCCCCTCTGGACCAGCTTTTCCACCCCCTCCCACATTCTTCCATTGTCTGTTGCTCTCATCATGACTCACCTAGCTTAGGACAGGGTTTATCCAGATCCTAAAAATAAAAAAGATAATCTAAAGCCACACCAAACCTTCCAGCTATTCATACTACCCATCTGGGATTATGGATGCAAAGAAGTTGATCTTCAAAATAGCAAGATGACAGCTGATGGAAAAGTGTGTGAAGTGGCTAGATTTGTCCTTTTTCTGTGAGTAGACATCCCCTGTAGACCATTTTTAATGTTCTAACTCCATCCCTTAACCATCCCTTTAAGACAGAAGTCATTTTGGAATTTAATCTGTGTCATTATTTTAACATCTGATCAGATTTAAACCATAAATCAAGCAATATTTTTATTATGTTATCTTTTTCCAGTGAAAAACACTGCCCAGAGCGACTAGCATATCTCTCTTATATGGGATTTTTGTTGACACTTAGACTGTCTGTACATTGTTGAAGCTAATGCACCTATTGCTTCTCTCTCACAAGATCATAACCATTCACACATCAGCACACTGACAGCACCAGTATGCAATGATACAGCTGCCATCAGATGAATGGGCGAAGACCACAGAGCCACTTTTGTTGTCCACTGTTGAAATAATTAATTGGTAATTTACAAGTTATTGGCCTATAATTGAACTTTACCGTAATACTCAAGAAGCTATTTGTTTAACTGACATTTTTGTTTTACCGAGTTAAACACAGGACATGAGTGAGAAGGGAGAATGAGTGAAAGTGATGAGGAACCAAGCAGCACACAAAGAAGTGATTTTAAAGTTGTAGTTTATTGCTCAATTAGGAATGAAGATTGTGGGATTAAAAAGGTGTACAGATGTACGAAGAGGAAAGCACTGCAGTTTGAGGTAGACAGAAGATGACAGACACTGCTGACAGTACATCCTGCTGAAGTGAAGTGATGAGTGAAGATGGAGAAGAAGATGAAAGGAAGATGAGGGATGGAGAGTTGGAGCTGGGTCTTACCTTTGGTCCGAGGAGGTGTCTGTGTGGAGTCGGGGCAGACTGAGCTGTGGGCCTCCTGTCAGCTCTTCTTACTCCTGATTGCATTACTCCACCCATCAGGGACTAATTGAAAAAATGGGAGGGGTTCTGGAGGGACTCGTGTGAGTGGAAGGGGTTTTTAGAGATGGTCTATAAATACAGCAGTGCTTCTCAGAGATAACACCAGGGCCCCCATTTTACCCACTCAGTCCCACCAGGCCAGTAGCCTTTTAAGGTCACGCCTTTATGCTCTTGCACTTTGTGTGGAAGCCAACATCACAAACATCATCTCAACACCAGTGTCACACTAGAATAAATAGATTTTGTGAGGTATTCACCTTTTCCATATTGCTAACATATTAAGTAATAATTACAATAGAATACATTATTTTGTTATGCAGTACAGTATACTATACAAGATACAAAAGATGCCAGGGGTCAAATGTGAAAGGGTGTAGCCCAGAGAGAATTACCCCTTCTCTAGTGTCTCATCTGTCTGCACCTCACTATATTCCTTCTCACTGGGGACCCCCCTTCAGTCCCCATACTGTAATGTGTTGGTGATGGTATCTAGGCCCAGTAATCACTCTTGGTTTCAGAGAAATCTGGCACTATTTTCTGCATCCTCTGGTCTTGTTCACACCGCTGCCCCCTGGTCTCAGTGAGGCCGGCTTTCCTGACCCGGTGGTCTCAGGGCACTTTCCAATGAGCAAATGCGTCATCAGTGCCCCTCTCAAGAAAGCCCACAGAGAGGGAGGTGCCATGCTAAGCTCTTGCATGTTTGTGTGGGCTGATAATACATGTACTGAATGGTATTTATTGAAGATAAATACTGTATATAGATATTTATATATTCTTCAATATTTTAAATACTGAAGAAGCTTTTTTAAAGCATATGCCTGTTTGCAGTGGGGCACTCTTGATAAACAGGAAGTCTACAAAATTAAACTCTTATTAACTTATTAACTATTAAACTACCACCCACGGAAATGAACACAGAAAATCTCTAACCAGCTGTAAACTGGGTTGTAAACAATATTGGATAATATGTGGATGACTTGCATTTAATTGCATTTGCAGTTTTGGCAGCATGTGTTAAACCACAAATCAAGAGTTCAAGTGAGAACACATAATAGACTGCCATTCTGAAAACCTATATTAATTGAATCCTGGGAAACGGCTCTTTAGCTGATCTAATTTTGAACATGTCCTGTAATCGATGTCAAATGACAAATGATGATCTGTGACCATGCCAGGTTTAAACTAACATGTTTCTGTGACATTTGCCAGTCTGCTGTGTTCAGCTGGTCCCAGCCTGTCCCTCCCACGCACCTACATGGAGCCAGGCTCCACCAGGCCAAGGGATAAAACCTCAGCTGTTTGGGCACAACAGGGCTTAACCCAGTACTTACCTTTGATGTGGCCAGTGTGTTATGCACACAGTCAAACCATAAAGACTAGTCAGCCCGGGTCCCCATTTCTAATGAGTTCACCGTTAATCATTTATTTGACACAACAAATGCAAGGGGAATCTGTGAGATGCAGATGGTGGAGAAGAGGCCAATGCTCTGCTGTCAGCCTCAGGAAACAAATCCTACACATGGCTTTGTGGAGCATGCATGGGTCTAATGAAGGTCTCCCATGGCCAACTAGGACTGATGAAGAAAAATAGCATCATTTGGGCCCACAGTGGAGACTTGTTATCAGACAGAGCATGTGAGGAGAATAACCTTTGCTGAATTGTATACACTGATGGTAAGAAAACTGTTTTTAAATAATTGTATTATATTGAAATTTACATACAAAATTATATTCCAACACATAAAGAATTGGCCATGAATTAAAACAGCACTTTGAATGAAAGATATCAAGGGTCAAATATGAAATAACGATGTCCTGACAGTTTACACTAATGGATTGGGCATTATAATCAGCTAAAAAAAATAGAGAAATATAAATTAATTTAAGCATTTTCAAGTCATGGCTCTAAGGACTGGAATCAAGTGTACCATCTCTACTGTGTACACAAATCCAACAGTTCTTTGGATCAAGATGAAGGCTTTTGGTAATCAACTGATCAGATACAGTTAAAAAGAAATTCTTTGGCCACTGAGATTTATGTCAAGGAGGAAAGGAAAAATCAAATCACCATTCAAAACATCTAGCATCAGGTCTGTTCTTCAAAGAAACCGACAAAAAAAGATACTTTAATTTACTTGAGTGGATATTTTACAATGATTATATAATGCTGAAAGCTGTTGTTTAGTCTCAGTAAGTTTCAATGTTAGCACTGATGTTGGCATATCATGTTTGTGTGCACATAAACTTTTTTCGGTGAATTAGATGCTGTTTTTTCTTGACTCAGTGATGCCATATATGTGGTGACTAATATACTGTTAATGCACAGAATTCCGGTGTGCTGTACATAGTATGCTCCCATAGGGCCTGTGTAATTGAATTTATTAGCCTGCAGGGCAGCACAGCTACAAACAAGTATAAATGAATTTACACACTAATGCCACTAATGTCTATATATCCAAAGGTACATTTACACTGCAGCCCTTCACCATTCTGAAATAACTGCCAAAGATAATATAAAGTATAGCACATCATATTCACCTTTTCCGTGAGTGTGTGTGAATGCGGC